GCAACAGTTCCAGCATTTTTGTCACAACCTGCCTGGAGCAGCAAGCGCAACACTTCCAGGTGGCCATTTAGAGCTGCCAAGTGTAGGGCCGCGTGTCCACTTTTCGTTGCTGTGCCTTTGTCAGCTCCAGCCTGCAACAGCCATTGCACGAATTCTGGGTGGCCAGATTCAACGGCCAAATGCAAAGCTGATTTCCCTGCTGCTGTTGTGGTATGTTTTTCGGCTCCTTCCTCAAGCAAGAGTTGCGCCACCTCCAAGTGACCGTTTTGTGCTGCCGCATGAAGTGCCGTTGTTTGATGCTCTGTGGCTGCATTTTTGTCTGCCCTGGCCTCCAGCAGCAACCGCACAGCTGTCAAGTGCCCATTCCAGGCGGCTAAATGAATACCTCCTGCCCCAGCAATTCTCAAGTCAGGATCTTGTGGCCTTTCAAGCATCCTTTCGACTTCCTCCAGTTGATTCTTGGCACATGCACTGATCAGCGCCTGTGCACCCAACACATCTGGAGGGCAAAAATCTAAGACCACCAAATCCAAAAGGTTTGGAACCAAGCTCAGTGCTGTGTCATTGTGCATTTCTGTGCCGGTTTCATCCAAGAGCCTCTGCCGAAACCGTGAACATCCCGTCGTGGATGCAACCCACTTTTTCAGCCCCCTCACAGTCGCCGAAACGTTCGTCTCCAGCAACGCCCGCTCATCAAGCTTAATAACTTCTCCTGACTGCCTGAGTCGGACCTGCAGAACTCTGTCCGACATGGGCCATGATCGAATTCTGCAGAGTTCTGCAAGTGCAGCTCTTCCCACGCCCGACCCTCAATGAATCCTAAATAGAAGAGATTGTGTAGACCTTTGCTGACACGTCACGACCTGACTTTCAGGCCAAACGGCTGCGAATCTCAAACTGCAATGTCAAACATGGCAATGCCTTCAAGGCGATGCTGGAGTTGGATGCTGAAGCCCCCCAACGCCATGCACTTGTTCACATCCAGGCACACCGCATGGGAGCCGGAGCCAAAAGACCTCAGCCACGCAAAGATCGGTCAAGGTGAAGTCTACAAAATATAATATATATATATATATACATATGTGTGTGTGATTGTATATAGTCAGGCATAGAATATGACTATATATTTTTTGTCAATCAACATAGTCAGACCTCAATCACATTCTCCGCACGGTTCGCACCCGCATCACCTGCCCCCCAGCCCCCACCCAGCTCACCCAGCTCACAGACCTTTTCGGCTGTTCACTTCCGGCTCTTCTTCCGGCCACGCCGGTCGTCCGCGGGTGCATCTGGTGGATCCGACAAGGACTTGAAGGTGCCTGGCGTCAGCCCGCAAGGCCCACCAAGCAGAAAGGAATAAGAACAAAATAAGAGAGAAAACAAGCAATGTTCGCTGCTAGGGGCTCCTGGCCTTACTACTAGGAGCAAGGACGCTAGCTACCAGGAGCATTCTTACTACTAGTAGAGGGGGGAGAGAAGGAAAAAAGAAAAGCTCAGCTCATTTCACTCCGAAGTACCTTGAGAAGGGTTCATGACGGTGCTGTACAGTGTGATGCCTTTCTCGTAGATCGGATGCTTCCACAGGATCGACCATAGCTCATCTTCCTCGACCTCAAAGGCTCAAGAGCCACCAAAGCGCATGTGGAACAGCCATGGGGAACCCCCACGCCCCTTTTCCAAGCCGTTTCCTTTCCGTGTGGCATAGCCGCGTGTCAGTGGGAGTTGAAGCATCTCCTCAACCAGCTTGCAGCGCTCCAAGGACTGTTGGTTGTCGTTGGCCATATCGTTGTCCCAATGATCCATGTTGGCTTGCACCAAGTACCTTGACCAAAGTACTCTTCCTCTGAACTTGCATGTGGCACGTTTCCCATTGTAAGCCTTGAGGGCAGCATAAACACCCCTAAAGCTTCCAAGTATATACTTGAATCACGCTAACAAATTCCCCATCCACGAATCCTACACTTTCTCTTTCACTCTTTTGCGAAGGATGTCCTCAAACCATACATTGGAAGAAAGCCAACCACCTGTGCCTAGGCATGCCTAGTCACAGCTGGTCCTCCGCGAGCACTCGCCGTTTGATCTCCGTGAGGCCATCCCTGGTGATCTGAGCAGCGCCACTGGTGGAGGCCACCAAACAGTAGAAGGGCGCCATCACAGGGATCGAGGCAATGTCCTGCAAAAAAAGCAGTCCCCATCATCTTAGATATACATATTATGATCAACACATGATATATGCATTATGATCAACTTATGGTCTTCATGTGAGAAATATGTCTTTCCCTATATCTATATATACAGTATGTCTCTAGGCCTTCAAAAAATCCGCGTAGTTCTCGTTCCTCTCCAGCACCGACCGCAAGGCCAGCCCCACGGGCAGCGCATCCACCTTCACCTCGCTCGTCTCGCTGGGCTCCCGGAAGTTTACGGCGGCAGCGTAGCGCTCGGGGCGCTGCGCGGTCAAAATCCCGATGTAACCGGCCCAGGTGGTGGCCACGTAAAGCAGCTGCCGTCCGCGGAAGACCCGCACGTCAATATTCAAAGCCTCCACAGTCACAACAAACACGAACCCATCTGCTTTTGGCCAGCACATGGCAGCAAAAACGGGGTAGGGGGGGGAGTCCTCTATAGTCCCTCCCTTTTCCAGCTAAGTACATAGAGACTTCTTCGTGTTTCAGGCGAGGCAGCGCTGCCTTGAGCTGTGGAAACTCCCAATCCAGGGTCCGTGCCAAAGCGATGCTGCCATCTTCCACACGGGCTGCCACAGCAGTGCATGCGCAATATGCCTAGAACGCGCGTGATGAACCGATGGGTCCCAAGTGGCGAAATCAAAGGCTTGGCACACTCCGTGACTCTATGAAGGCCCGAACTCCTTGGCCGAACAAGCCTCTTAGATCACCATTCCGCCATTGGGTTGGAGGCCATTCTTATCGACAACTCAATTCTCAGTGCATGTTCTTACAAGTAAAAGAAATACGCGTGCCACACGAACGCACCATCCTCAGATCCCTGTGCCTCGTATTGAAGGCTCAAAGAACAGAGCGCCTGCAGTGGGACCTGTGCCGCCTCGGCCAGACCTTTGAGCTCCGCCAGCACTTCTCCCATGAAACCACCGGCACCTGGCAGGACCCCCAACCCGCCCTAGTGCCCCCGAAGGGAAGCCATCCAATCGGTGACGCGTTCCCGAATGCTCGGACCTGCTACCTGGGACCTGCTGGGATGTTGATAGTGGTTGAAGCGCGGGTTGATTGACACCTGGGCTATATGGTCAGGTTGTTTAGCAAGGGTTGTAAGGGCCAGCTCCGCGTGCAACATCACCGACTTGGATCACCCCTCTCGCTTTGCTCGATCATTACCCACTCGGAACTTCACGTCTGTGAGTAGCCCGATAGGTGGAAGGGATTGGAAGAGCATTCCCTCGACCTCTTGTGCAGAGCCGCACTAGGTCGCTCTTAGATTGGAGGCCATCACTCTTAGGTTGAAGGCCATCGCTAGAAGTAAATATTAGCACTAGGGAGTAAAGGTCATACCATGACATACCACGCCTTCCAGCCGTTCCAGCAGCTGGAGCGCCTCCTTGGCCGCAAAGCGAGCCACCCGCTGCTCCAGCGTGGCCTGAAGGTTCTGAAGATAAAACGAGAATTTGATTGGTTTGACTGATACTTGCTGATTTTGATGAAACGCATCTGACTCTACCTTGTCAACACTCATCTGTTTGAAAGGCCTTGCGCCGTCGGCCTTTCTTGGCTCTGGGAGTCTCAAGGGCCACTTGCAAGTCCTGAGAATGTATAAACGTGTCGAAACGTGTAGTCAACACCCATTTCTTCGCAAAGTGTGGACAAAACACCTAATTCGCTTTCACGACCAGGGGCTGCAAGCTTCTGCAGCATTGGCGCATAGGCCTCAAGACACGGTGAGGCCGCCTCTCTCAGATGAACACAGCAACTAAAAGCTGAAGGATGCTCTAGTTGTATGATGTTACATCAACTTCTGACATGGAGTGGTTCTCACAGACCGCGGCGAGGAGAGAGTGTCGCCATTCGAGGGCCCCGGCCCTGGCGATCTCCTGCCATCGCACGAAGGGATCCTCGTCCAAGTCAACGTCGAAGACCGGGATCTCTCCATCCATGCCCTGAAACGACATGAAACAACTGAATCTGGATGAACCTTATCGAACATCAACGCACCCGGAGACCTGTTCAAGAGAGGATCCCAAAGCAGGAAACACAATAGAGGGGGCCAAAAGCCCAGATGAGAAGAAGCACAGTGTCACAAATCATGAAACACAAAGCACGAGAATGCCAAGGCTAAGATGAACTAAGATGCTAAGGGCCGAGAGGGAGGGAGAGGGCACATATGACGAAGCACGAAGCATGAATGAACGAACCCTGCTCGCAACTCAAACAGACGTCCGGAAGCGGGGTGCAAGTATCATCTGCATCATGCTCTCACTCAGCACGCAGCACGCAGCATATATCGCAAAATGTGTCCATCATCTCCACGCACAATTCACGCTGCCATGTGATGACAAACCTGTCGATCACCACTCCCCACATCACAATAACAAGAAGCTAGTAGAAACAAGTGCATCGCTACTAGTAACAAGTGCCTTACTAGTAGTAACAAGAAGCTAGTAG